TCCCCCCCCCCCCTCCCAAATGATTCTCAACCAGGGTGATTCAGGACCCTTGGCTGCATTGCGATCCTTTCAGAGGTGCCACGAGATGCCAAACGATGTTGGCACAGTTAGATGTGCAAACATGATTCACAAGATTTGGAGAGTTCAAATAATCTAGTATTAAACAATTCTGACCTGTTGTGGTCTTGCTCTGATCTTTGGAACAGAAAAATTGCTGTATCAGTTTTCACTCATTTTTTTTGACTATGGAAATATAAGTGCTGCCATTTTCCAAGGGGTTCCTTGAGCCTAAAAAGTGACTAACCACTTTACATACATATAAAAGCAAACTGGTGGTGATTTTTAAATTTAGATTTGTCTCATTTTGTCAGAGATTTTAAAAATAATGTTAATACTGCTAATAATACTAATATTGATAATATTTTGTTTAGTGCCTCTGGTTGCAAAGGATTACAAAAGTCTGTGCAAACTGAAGTGCCAGTCTTTCAATGAAATTCATGCAAGCCCTCTAGGAACTATATGCACAGATCTGCTAAAGGTTGGGGTCCTAAGAGCCTCATTGTCATACTGTGGAGAGGGATAATTCTTCAATTGTAATTCCTAAGAATTCTTGATTTTTTGGGTGAAGAAGGAGGTTGCTTTCTCCAATGATTATTTCACTTCTCACCCTTTAAGTTTCTTTTAGGGTTGTATAAATCTGAAAGACATGAGATGAGAGGTGGTTTTAGCACATGTCTATACCCCGTTTTGCGGTACAATGTAGCCATAACCAAGCTAGTTCATTTGGAGCTAGTATATCTCTACTGAATGCAATACTGTGCAATAGGGCCGTGCAAAGCTTTGGTCCCTGATTCAAAGCATGTCTAGTCCACTTCTGGGTCTGCTGGGGAGTGTGCTGCCCCCCCACCCCTGCACCTCCTGGCTTGGCGACTAGTGCCTCCTGGGTCTGGCAGGTGCATCCAGGCTTCCCCCATGCCTGATTGCTGAGCTGGGGGAGGGGGTGCAGGGGTTTGCCATTGAGTACGTGGAGGGCCCCCCCACACTCCTCTGGGATGCTCTGTGCCCCAGCATTGCAGTGTTCACAAGCCGCACTGGTACCTCGAGGTCTGTAGAAAAAAAGTTTAAAGCTGCGTCTATGTCCAAATTGCTGATTCTGTGAATTGGCATTGAATCTTCAGATTCGGATTCAGCCAAACTGAATCGGGGACAGTGATCTGAATCAATTAATCAAATCACTGTCCGTGATTCGGCCTGGATCTGAATCTGAATCGAATAGGGCCACTTTGCACACCCCTACTGTGCAATGTAGGTCTAGGCTGAGTTGACTGCCATGACCACTTTCTGCTAATAAGACTTTTATCTAGTCAGGAACACGAAATTTAATGAATTATGGGACTAAACACAACTAAGCAATATACCCATGTGCCCAGTTCTCAACTGTTTGGAGAAAATTGCAGTCTTCTCACAGGCATCTGAGCAGAAAAGATATCAATTAATTGAAAAAAATATTCTATGCCTATTATTTACTTGATTCTAATCTAGGCTTTGGTTTTCTCTCTTACCTGGAAATGTGGCAGCAGCAGCAGCAGCATGGGGCTTGGTTCACACAGCAGCCCTAAGGAGACTGCCATGTATTGAATTACTGGTATCATTTCCAGGGACATTAAGCTGTTCCATGGAGGACTTCCATCCAAACACTTGACCTCTGTCTGCTCCTGAAAGCTGAGGGGATTCTAGTACTGAGGAACTCTTATGGATGGCATGAATTAAAAATAGATAAATGGCAGAAATCTAGATGTATTCATACTAACTGGGTGGATAAGTGGGAGTTAGTTTACCATTGTGGTATCAATCATACACCTGGATAACTGGAGAAGGCCTTGAAGTGCTGCACTAGTGACAGGCTTCGCTCTTACCTGACTGGTTGGAAGCCTGAGATAACAGTGGGATGGGATAAAATGTTATAAAACATCACTGAATAAATAATAAGGGAATGTCTTGTCCCATCCACTGGCAACATGAGGGTGGAATAGGTGGGTTCAACAGCTGTGACATAGATCCAGGAAGGTATAAGGGGCATTAAACCAAGTGGACCTGATGTATACATGCCTGTGTCTAAGAGGAAGGATCCTCAGCTTTGTGCAAGCTGGTGAAGGTATATATTTCCTTTTTGAAGTGTTTTAAAACTAAGATGTAATGAAGTTTTGTACCGTGTGTGTCTGTGTGTATACATAGAGAGAGAGAAAGAGACACACATGCACCCACACACGAGTAAGAGTAAATATGGATTTTTGTGTATTCATTTACACATACCCTAGTCTAATTCAGCACAAGTGGAATTGTCATTAGACAGCAGTTATAGATGTTATAGCTTGGCCATTCCCAATTATGAGTCAGAGTTCAGGCAGCTCTAATTTAGACTACCGGCATACGTTTCTTTGGGATCTTGCACCAGTGGAGAATTGACATAATATAGCAGGAGAGTTGACATCATATAGCACAGCTTTACCATGCTTCATTTCCATCCTTCTCACCTCCTACTCACTGCCTGGTGGTGCAACAGGGCTAGAACAGAAATTAAAATCTGGACTAGTATGAATCTGTATAAGACTAAATACAGATACATGTATCTGCATAAGACATGCGCAGGAACACAGGTATATCAGCAGTTTTATTTACAGGCTTGCTCTTTTAAATGTCTAAGATGCGAGTTCCCTCAGTGTTTAATATATGCACGCACGCAAGGCCATCTGTCCTGTGTGTGTTTTTAATAAGGCTAAGAATTTTAAAGTATTATTTGTCATAGACAGTACAGTTAAGTGTCAGAGTCAGGCCCAATGTATGTAAGGCATGATTATGAATTAAAATGAGTTTGGTTAAGTAAATTACAAATCTCTCAATCATATTTATGCTCTGGTTCTGGCCCCACAGTGATTTTAAAGTCTTAGCAAACCAAATTAGACAAAGTTTCCTTCTTTTTTTTTTTTTGGTTTAGTTACCCTAGCAACCATAATCTCTATCTCAGAAAAGCTGAGGAGCTGTGAAGGAAGAAAAGCAACTGGAATTTCAGCAACCCCCCCTGCTAATCCTTTTCTTATGTTATCAGATTATTTTTATTAAGTTATTTAACATTTGCATACTAGATGGTGCTGAGGATAGGCAGTTGGTATTTTGTAAATGCTGTGTACTTTATATTGGTTATATGATGATGCCTTGATTCAAAGATAAAATCTGTGGCTGAATATCCTGGCAGGAGACAGTAAGTGCCATCCCTGACCCTGTGTTTCTCGGCAGGCAAGGGACACCCCCCTGGGCTTCATGCATTGAGTCTAAGGCAGGAGGGGGGCATATGTCCCTTGTGCAGGGAAAAGGAGGGCCTCCCTCTGCCCACATCTACAGTGGGAACCTTAGTGTGGCATGACCGCCAATAAGCACTGGTGAGTATAAGTGAGAATAAGGAGGTTAAAAGAAGATCAAGCTCAACTCATATCTTGCTTTGTGGTTCTTTTGAGACAGCTACAATGGAACAAAGCTATAAGGTCCTTCCATATATGGTGGGCTGCTCTATTGACTCTGCACACCTACCTGCCCCGATGTGAAAACTGGAACAAAAAGGTGTGGGCTGAGCATTTCCTTGCCCTATCTTGTCTCTTACAGTCCATAGGGGCCAGGGTGAAAATTAGGGCAACATAGGCAAGTCCCCTGGCATGCCTTGAATAGGGGAATAAAATGCCTCTGTAGCAACCTTTTGCCAAGTGCTGCATGGAGGCAGGTATGAATCAGGTCCTTTGAGTCTGAGACCTAACTTGCACACATTACCTCTGACTCTGGACATGGGTATGAGTACTAGTGTGTCAGCCTGCATGTTGTTCAAATTTGATGCATTCTACCTGAACAGAATGTCTTCATCACCCCTTTCAAAATGGTTTGCAACCAATAGCAATTTTAAATAGGGTCTTTGGCACATAACTTTTTCTGGTTAACTTTGCAGTACCCTAAAAATAACAGTTATTAGGTAATACCTGATGTGTTGTGTTAAGTAGCATTTAGTTAACTCTAAAAAGTTACTTACCACTGCTGATGTAGGTCCTCTCTATTTGAGATGAAATGTCCCTTGTATTTGTGCTAATGTTCTGGAACAGTTTGATGCATATTTTTAGTAACGGTCTCTATAGCAGCCTGGCTGTGTTTTCAGATCTTAAAAAACACTGCACATCATTCTTAAAAAGTAGTTATTGAATGTGCTACATATGAGTTTATTCTTTATTTACTATTTTTGAAAAATAACTTTACATAGACAGAAACACAAAGACCTTTTATTAACAGAGTAGATAAAATGTTATATCCCTGAAATTAAATGAAGCCAAATCATTGTTCCACCCAATTTCTCATTACTCCCTTCTCCTCCAGCTCTTCATTATTATGCATCTTTCCTCAAATCACAGTTTTAGGGAGATTTTTCTGAAACAATTTTGCTGCCACTTAACATCCTTTGCCAGGGACAGTATGGGGGATCTGGAACAAGGAAGAACAAGCAGCTGATGTAATTGGACAGCAGTTGCAGACAGATGGTTCAAAGCAGTATTTGCTGTAGTGTCTCTCCCCAGTACCTGCTGGGAATTCCAATCTGCCTGTGTGTTCTGATAAAGCTGAAAGAAGTTCCCGGGACCACCTGCAGTCTCAGTGGAAGACAGTCA